GCATATATGTATTGCCATATACACATCATTCCAAGTAGAATAAATAAGCTCTTTGTTTTCACATACCATTTGTGGGGCATGGAATGAATAGTGGTTTCTTTACCAAAACAAGATTGTTGGACGATCTCTTGTGCAATGGCATCAGCCCTGGTGGAACAATTTCTAGGGGGGCGGGCAATTATGGGACCCTCAGGCATTAGCCGTTTATAGATCAGTCCATTAAGCCCGGCCCTATTATAGCACCTGCCCGGGGGGGGGGGCATTCCCTCATTCAAAAAAAGAGTTGGGGACATGTGCCCCCTTCCATTGCCAGTGAATGGCGTAATGATGTTGCCATGATCAAAGATAAAATAATCCACAAATTAATATAGAAAACTGTTACACCCCCAACCACGGCATAAGTCCCGATGACAGTTGGGACAGCAAATTTCTTAAGAAAATTTGTCAAGCTTCTCCATGCCTGTTGCAGCTCACACCCTGCAGAATTCTTCAGAAACATGGCATATGATCCATGACACAAATAACTTTACTGCGATCATGTGCTGCTGACACAAAATAACGATGAGACATATACCAGTTAGGCCCACCCAAATGTAGCATCAGAGTAGGGACCATTACAACTACAAATGGGTACCACTGTCATACATGTAGTTGTGGAGCACCAGTGAACAGGTGCTTCCATTATATACTAACCTCTTTCTTGGTATTGATCTTGGCATAGATCTTGCCCTTGTCCGTGTCATACCCCAGCCCTTCATTGATACAGCCCCCTCCTCCCTGGCCTGTTGCCTTGACAAAGCTCAGCCCCAGTTCATGCTTTAGTAGAGCTTCCATCACGCTGACCAGGAAATCTGAGTCGGCTCAAAAGGAAAGTTGAAATCTGTGCTGTGAACATCACACTCCATAATCCACCGGACAACCACGACAGTCGTCAAAAGTTCCTTCCTTGAGTGATCTTGTTTCCATACGTTCAAAATCTGTCATCCGTATTTCTTCATTAGATACGCAGGATATCAAATGGGCAAAAATTGATAAATTATCTTCTGCGCAGTAGACCTATAGCTTATGATCATAATTCGTCTGAAACAAAATACACCACTAAATGTTCTTCTAAGATACAACCTCCCAAAAGCCATTATGACATCTGGACATCTGCAAGCTTGTCAATGATGTCATGATTTAATAGGCAGGAGTTACTCCCACTACCTTGCCGTGAGCTACCCCCAGAACTGTGGGTACAGGGTCCAACATCCACCCCAAGTTCATGGGAACGGGACAGATGTCGGACCCCACAGTTCTGGGGGTAGCCACGAGCCACGGTGTTGGCCTTTCAATCTCTCCTCCCATCGTCACCTTGCATCATTTTTTGCATGCCTTAGAGACATATGACACATAGCAGACATTGACAGACCAATCACGGGGAAGATTGGAAAGGGTTCCATGTACCGACAACATTAAGTTTCCCTTAGATGTTGTAGCAGCTGTCAAAATGTGATAATGCGTCCTAAAAAGTGAAATTTACATGTTGCTAAGAAAATTCCTAAGCATTTAGGCCCCTACTTTAATAGGATCTATAGGTCCTAGCCTATGAATAAACTGAAGAAAACACTTAGGTTTATTTATGATTATTTTGATTATTTATTCACCTGTTCATCCAACAGCGCATTTTGTTTAGATTAGAGCCAATCATGCCATGCCAATTACAGGATGATAATGAGTAAGGAAGACAATGAAGAAAGTTCAGTTTTAGAGGTGGGAGGAAAACCCCCAGGAAAACCCACAGACTCAGACTGGGACTCAAAACCCAACCCACATGTGTACCTAGCCAGATTCGAACCCGGACCACAGAGGTGGGAAGACTAGGAAAGAAACACAAACACTAGGCCTACTACACCAACTAGTCCCACTAGTGTGGCACGGACTCTCACTCCCGATCCATCCTTAGCCACACATCCGTATGCGCAATTTCGTGTCGGCGTACTGAACATTTTCGGCGCACCCACTTATCATTATGGGCGCAATTTCTTTTGCACAAGAACATGATCCTTGACCTTTCCGTTTTCTAAAAACTATTTATTGAATGATTTCACTCACATTATTCAGGTATTTTCCAGTCTTTTTGCCTTTATCCATTCAATCTCACGGGATCGCTCTCTCAGTCGCCATCTTTAAAATAAGATCGTTGAACAATACGTCACTTGACCTCTCATCGTCTCAACGGCTGTTCCATGTCAAGACATATGTAATAAACGGACTGGGCGATAAGATACTACATGTACCAATGGGCTCTTCCAAAACTTTGGCAGCAGTTTAACGCGAGTGAAATCATTCAATAAATGGTTTTTAGAAAACGGAAAGGTCAAGGATCATATTGGTGTGCAAAAGAAATTGCGCCCACGATGATAAGTGGGTGCGCCGAAAATGTTCAGTACGCCGACACGAAATTGCGCATACGGATGTGTGGCTAAGGATGGATCGGGAGTGAGAGTCCGTGCCACACTAGTAGTGGGGCTAGTACTAGTAAATACGCCAACATGGCCAACCTGACGTCGTCTCTCCCCAAGTCTGACAAATCTCACACGTTTGTCCACAGGGGCATCAAGTGTTGTCCGTATATGGAACTCTTTCCTGAGAGGTTTCCTTTTACGAGTCGATTTGGAGATCAGGACTTCAACTGCTGAACTTTGGGATTGACTTCAGTATCGTCCATCACGAAAGTTCTCGTTCCATGCGAGTCGCCATCTTGACTAGTTTATTCCGTCAAATGGAAAGAGCGACCTCTGTTGGCAAAATTTTACCATCTCACATTATTGGTCGAGTTCGGGCGGCCTGTTCTTGACACAGGTTTCTTGTTCTCGCGCTCGAACGGCGGGAACACTGATCTAGAACACTGTTCTCGGAACAGGATCACACACCACCTCCTCGTCAGGGTTTTACAGGAACACACGGAAGAACTCGTGAGATTTTGATTTTTGAACAGCTGCAAAAAATAGAGAAATGGACAATGGGAAGTTTTGCAAAAATAACATTAATTATTTACCATAACACAGAAATGAATGTTCCCGTTTATATAGAAAAGAATTAAGCCCATCCAAACATTAACTCTCGAATAACGTAGCCTAGGCCTACATGGACGCCGCCATGTTGCTTGTCACTAACTACCATCGATAACCGGTTGTTTGTTCCCAGCGTTCGAGCGGCCGACCCACGAACAACAAATCGAGCTGTTCGGGAACATACGGGAACAAGCCGCCCGAACTCGGCCATTAAGTTCACACTGTTGTCTGCAGTGGTGTTATTTCACCCATTCTCTCCCTGTTCGAAAAAGCAAAAACAAAGCAAATACGAAAAATAAAGAAAAAGAGGAAAAATGAAACAGTGGAAGGTAGATGCCTGTATACAACCGATAAAATCAGTTTTCACTCAGAACCATCAGGGTCTATCATCGTGCCGCGCGCCCCAGCGTCAAATTTATGTGCAACTCCTACAGCCGGTGAAAAATTCCGATCCAGAAGCCCCGGGAGGATGGAGCACATAATTCCCAACACCTTTTTGACCGAGTTTGAGCTATTAAATCACTCCAACACACTTTTCGTGCTGAGAAAAAGACAAATGTTGAGATTTTTTTCCGAAATTCCTAACAACTAATCTGTATTCAGTGCCAAAATAGAGAGAAAAAGTACAAAACCTTCAGCCTATAAAATGCTTTATTTTGATTTCAGGTTGTGGTGCTATAAGATATAAGAGGCCTACATCTGTGATACATCCGTGTCATTAACAGCGCCCTCCTAGTATCATGTGGTGTACAGAAACCCCTCCCCCCGCCTTTTCAAATTTTCAGGGCAATGTTATGATTAAGTCATTACCATTACCGGTCCACGGCACAGATTTTATACCACGGATAAAATAACCGGCCCCTCCTCCGGTATAAGGCTACTAATTTCTATGATATTTTTTCTTTTGTTTTTTGTTTTCTTTCTTTGTTTCTATGAAGCAATAATTTGGAAGCGTTTATCCGCCCAGTTAAGCCAGAAAGAAAGTGTGATTAGCTGGTCGTTTATTGAAGCCATGCTTAGACACCATACCACTGTATCTGGCAGCACTATATAGTTCCTGTACTGAAGGCCTTCAGAAGGGTCGGGTCCAGAAACCCAGATGGTAGGGGATTATCAATTAGCCTATCAAATCATGGGAGGGAGGACAAATCAAACCTAGACCAATAAAAACAGCCCACGCAAAAGTGTCATTCATAGGCACAAATGAAGTCCTCTTTGAAACCAGTAGTTTGAGGTAAAAAAAAGTCTTTTCACATAGGCCTACTGAATTTTTCTACAGGCATTCCAAGTTTCGAAAACGAGCGGATGGGAAGCAAAGATCTCAGGGGTCTGGCCCCGGCAATTGATCAATAGTAATAGGTTCATTGGAGGGAATTTTTCTCATTGTTTCACAATTCATGTGCCTATTTGGAAGAGGCAAAGGAATCTCCCCAACCTACCTCTATAAGCCTTTCATACTCCCAAATTAAAGCTGAAGATGAGAACTCGATCGATATTCAACAGGGCCACCAAGCGGTAGACATCAATCCGCCGTACAAACAATCAACTTGGACGACCAATCCACTGCTGTCATGTTTCTCGCTTCGTTCACTGCATGCTCTAGTAATCAGATTCTTGCGACCTAATGCTTTTTCTAAGAATCCAATTGCCGATCAAGCTGATAAAATTACTAATAACTCTACTACCACTTAAGCAGATTAGGTCCGTATAGTTTACGCCTGACGATGGCGTTCACCAGTTGATACTCGTGAAGCGAAGAGTCGTTGCTTTTTTTTCATTTTTGGATAAACAAACCACAGATCTACTGAAACACCTGACATTTCTAAAAGTTTCACTTTAGATAGCATTTCATTTTGTTTGCTGGGTCTACATGACCGCAAAAAGTGCGTGTCTTTGGCGTTAAATTAATTGACAAATGCAAATGTAAACGGGAAATTATTGCAATTAGTGTTAATTTGTGGCAGGGGCGTGATGGGGGTGGGAGAGGTTGGAGAAAGGCGAGGAACGCGGCTAAAAAGTGAAAAACAAACATTATCTTAAGCAACTCCTTTGAATAAAATGAGTGGGTACATTGTGTCTCTCATCTATGGAAACTGAGTTGTGCCTGAAAAAATGAATCATGAACTTTCAAAACCCATTAAGAAAATTATACGTTTCGCTGTTTAAGTTTGCGAAAACGTTTACAAAGAAAAGCCCACACAATCCAACTACCCACTGCAGACTGTTCATAAATGAGGCTTTACACCGAAATGCCAACATTTGATAAGTGGAATACATTATCGTATTATGTGATCTATACCTGCGTTGCAATGTAATAACTGAAGCTCAACGCCATTAATACGTTGAAGTTACCGGTTTTCCAGGAATTTAACAAATAATCAACGCTGTCAATTTGTAGGGGAAACAGTTTCCAACCCCATCTTTTCAGACAGGAAACAAACGAAGCAAAAACGTACCATCCAATATTCCAATCAAGGATATTCACTACCCCACGCGCACGCAAAAGCCACGCAAGCCAGCTCGACCGACCTACTTTCCCCTCTTTTGAATTTAACTTAAAAAACTTACTGGCCCGGTTTTTACGGATTTTGGTTTGCATTAATATCGCTTTAAGTTTTGCTGTGAGAGAAAGTTCTCTTTTTTTTCGTCCCTGATCAGAGGCGTAAATCCGTGCCAACGAGTGGAATGGGGGAGGTGAAGGGACTCATTCCATGCACTAGAGGGCGCTGCTCAAGACACAGACGTGTATGTCTGTAATCTGTTTTACACCAGACTATGCACTTGTGGTTTTTACATTTGTTGTTTATCATTTTGGCTGTTGGAAAAATCTACACGACTTCAAAGCACACCTCTGTGTTCCTCGCCACCAAATAGAAAGAGATGGTTTGTGGTTAACCACCCGCCCCTCATCAAAACAAGAGGGGGCCGGGATATATGCCCATGGTCCAACAGATGGCGGGACGAGTCCTCGGGCCTCGCTTGTTGGGGGTTGGGGGAAACACGACACCAACTTAATTTCACCATGGGGACCCCTGATGTATGTCGACACACTCTTCTTAAACCTTTGAAACAATCTACACCAACGGGAGAATCCTATTTGGAAACGGCAATCGTTCCCGATTATGTGAACTGAGCGTCAAGATGCTTTACACTCTGACAAGACTAAAGATGTGTTAAACTCCAGCTAGCATTTGGCCAAGGCTTTCATGGCTTATCGGGCATCAGACAGAGACGCGAAGCTGCAAAACTGCAGAAAGGCTTGAGCGGAGACTATGTGAGTCTGAGTGGCGAGACGTTGACTCCTCCACTTGCACCCACTGTAGTGGTCTCCGTTCCAGTCGTTACCGGACCACGCAGTCTCACTGTCCTGTTTAATTGCCGGCCAAGTCACGAAGTCCCTGGCTAAAGGCTAAAACATCGCAAGCTAGCTAGCCCAGCCTAGGACGAGACGTGACAGATCGACCTCCAGCTTCCCAGCCAAAAAGCCTTTTGCGAATAAATTCTAGTACACTGCAATCTTTAAATTCATGTGAACTTAATTTGAATTCTAAAGACACTGTTGCTATACCTCGTGATACGCCTTGAACAAATACATTTATTTCAATGGAGAAGAGGGGAACAGGAAGTCCGTACCAGAAATGGTGTACGTCGCTATTATGTTCAAAAGCTTGCCCCTAATCACGAGGTACCGGCAAAGCACGAGTGTCTTTAGTCTGGGGAATTCAAATGGTCGTGTTTATATGTAATCAGATAAGTCAGTGTATGAGTCAGTGTATTCATTCTTAACTCGTAAAAGGCTTATTCAGTAATAACGGGGAGAATTCGCAGGGAGGGGAAGGTCGTGGATACGGGTTCTGCCCAGGAAATCTCTCAGGAGGTTACAGTACACCTCTAAAATTATATTTATAGGCGCATTTTACTGGAAGAAAAGTTACAGTTTTAGCTAACAATAATTATCAATACGAGCTTCACAAGGAATGCAACATCCCCTTCAAAGGCGCATCCATGTGTTGAGTCCTTTTGGGGGAGGAGGCAGACTAATCGGTATATTTTGTCAAGGTCGACTGTCCATTTGCATCCGTAAAAGAATCCTTCTCCCCAACCAACCCCTGAAAGGTGCCAGGTATCATTTCCTAAAGTGTTGGTGCTTTCAATAGACCGACTGCGAATGTTAAATCACGTGACCTATAGTGGGTATTAACCCCATAGCAACGTGTGCTTTGAGCAGTGTTGGAGTACTCGTACTTGAACTCGAACTCGAGTACAACTCGAGTACCAATAAGTACTTAGCCCGTACTTGGTCGTAAGCACTCGAAAAAAATACTCGACACGTACTCGTAATTTTGTACTCAAATTCGTCCCTAAACTCGACAAACTGTACTCGGTTAACTCGATCCCAGTCGCACAGTACTTGAGAAAAGTTGGGATTTTTTAGTAATAAGTTTTCGATACTAAACATTGACCAAACATTTCACATAATGTAAGCTACACGTTACAAGTCACGCAGTGTTTTCTATCTACATCGAGTATTTGTGAATGGTTGGCACGTGGCAGCGCTTGCAGTATCGCTGGTGTACATAAATACAAATTTCCATTATGCTTTTAGTTTTACAATGTACTCAGATGTAGTCAATTATCTTTGTACTGGTACTCGGCCCGTCTGAAAATCTCAAACTCGCTCGGATTTTTGGCCCAAGACTTGATAAAAAAGTATTTGGCC